GTGATAGGTGGCCCCTGTAGTCTCAGCTAAGCTACTCAGGAGGCTGAGGCGGGAGGGTCACTTGAGCCCAAGAGGTTGAGGCTGCAGTGGGCCATGATCCTGCACCCGGTGACAGAGGTAGACCCTGTCTTAATAATAATAATCCAGCCTGGCCAACATAGTCAAACTCTGTCTCTACTAAAAACACAAAAAATTAGCCGGCCATGGTGGTGTTTGCCAGTCATTCCAGCTACTCAGGAGGCTGAGGCACTAGAATCACTTGAACCTGGGAAGCGGAGGTTGCAGTGAGCCAAGATCTCACCACTGAACTCCAGCCTGGGTGGCTGAGTGACACTCCGTCTCAAATAACAATACTAATGGTACCTACCTCGTTAAGTTGTGAGATTAAACATGAAGTTGTGAGGTTTAAGCTATATATATATATATATCTCCTAATATATATAACATATGTGTTTTATATATATATGTGTGTGTGTATATATATATAATTTTATTTATTTTTTTTCTGAGACATAGTCTTGCTCTGTCGCCCAGGCTGAAGTGCAGTGGCATGATCCTGGCTCACTGCAACCTCCCCCTCCCAGGTTCAAGCAATTCTCTGTCTCAGCATCCTGAGTAGTTAGGACTACAGGTGTGTGCCACCACCCACAGCCAATTTTTGTAGTTTGTTTTTTTTTTTTTCTTTTGGAGACAGGGTCTATCTAGCTCTGTCTCCCAGGCTGGAATACAGTGGCACAATCACAGCTTACTGCAGCCTCAAACTCCTGGGCTCAAGTGATCCTCCCACCTGAGCCTCCCAAGTAGCTGGGACCAAAGGTGCATGCCACCACACCCAGCTAACTTTTAAATTATTTGTAGAGAGGGAGTCTTACTGTGTTGCCAAGGCTGGTCTTGAACTCCTGGGCTCAACTGATCCTCATGCCTCAGCCTCCCAAAGTGCTGGGATTACAGGCATGAGCAATTGCACCTGGCCCTAAATTAGGCAACATTAAAGCGTTTGCTTATTACAATGTCTGCTGTACAGTTAGTACTCAATAAATGCTATTCTGGCCGGGCGCAGTGGCTCACGCCTGTAATCCCAACACTTTGGGAGGCTGAGGTGAGATCACTTGAGATCAGGGGTTCGAGACCAGCCTGGCCAACATGGCAAAACCCTGTCTCTACTAAAAATGCAAAAATTAGCTGGGAGTGGTGATGCACACCTGTAGTCCCAGCTACTCAGGAGGCTGAGGCAGGAGAATCACTCGAACTCGGGAGGTGGAGGTCGCAGAGAGCGGAGACTGTACCAGTGCACTCCCGCCTGGGTGACAGAGCGAGACTCCGTCTCTGAATGAATGAATGAATGAATGCTATTCCTATTTCTATCCTTCGGACCTAATTTTCCTTTGCTATAAATTGAAAATGTTTAACCAGTGATTCTTCTGGGGAGCTTGCTCCCCTCCCTGGTGGGTTGCATGAGAGTCACACTAGGGGTTTTTTCAAATAACACACCCTCAGCAGAGACTTTTCTTCAACCCCTAAGGCAGTGGTTTTTCAAATACCCTGCTTGGGAATGATGGGGGCAATTTGCCAAAATACAGATTCCTGGGTCCCAGTGATTCTGACTCAGTACATCTGGAGTTGGCCCCATAATTCAAGTTGGTTGGTTTGTTTTTTTGAGACGGAGTCTCACTCTGCCACCCAAGCTGGAATGCAGTGGCACAATTTCAGCTCACTGCAACCTCCGCCTCCCGGGTTCAAGCGATTCTCCCACCTCAGCCTCCCAAGTAGCTAGGATTACAGGTGCATGCCACCACACCCAGCTACTTATTATTATTATTATTATTATTATTATTTTGAGACGGAGTTTTGCTCTTGTTGCCCAGGCTGGAGTGCAACAGCGCAATCTTGGCTTACCGCAACCTTTGCCTCCCAGGTTCAAGCGATTCTCCTGCCTCAGCCTCCCAAGTAGCTGGGATTACAGGTATGCGCCACCATGCCCAGCTAATTTTGTATTTTTAGCAGAGACAGAGTTTTTCTCTGTTGATCTGGCTGGCCTCAAACTCCCGACCTCAGGTGATCCGCCCGCCTCGGCCTCCCAGAGTGCTGGCATTACAGGCATGAACCACCGCGCAGGGCCAGAATTCAGGTTTTAACAAATGATCTGGATGTAAATGGTTCACAGACTCTGCGCATTGAGGGTGGGGAGAGGGCACAACCCCCTAAGAGTCTCTCTCGCTCCTGGACAACATGATGGGAAGTGACCTGTTCCACTTGTTGAGAACTAGTGGATCCCATGTTTCCCTCTAGCTTGGACAGTATAGTTCTCAGGAGGAATCCTCACCCCGACCAGGAGCCCTTCTGCTCCACCTGCTACTGCTGGGCTGTACCCACCCCACTTCTAATGTTAAGCCTTGGCTTAAAATTCACTCCCCAATATTTCTCCCCCTCTCTACTTTCATCCTCAATAATCCCAAGCAGCTGGGGTATGCAAGTCATTTTCACCTCTTGGGACTGTGCTCAAGGGGGCAGCCTATGATTGCCATGAGGATATGGGAGCCCTGAACTGCAAATCTATCATTTCCAGAGAAGCCAGAAATCTGAATTTTTCTGTGCAATTTCTGAAACTTTAAATCCGAAGTTTTTCTAAAATTCAATGGGTCAGATACCACAGTCTGTGTAATCAATCAATTCCAAAGTCTCCTCCTTTTGCTGAAGGAGAAGATTCCTTAAAACAGCAAGGCAGAAGCCAACTGAAGCAAGGGAGAACCACCTCCCACCCCTCCCCACACACACTTTCCACACCCAGTAACTGGGTCTCTGGGTGGATAATTCCTGTTTCTGTTTTTTTGTTTTGTTTTTAATTTTGGACAGCTACTACTCTCTGTAGTGAGGAACCTGGAACTTTCGGTAACCTAAGGGATGTCGGTCTGGTTGTCAGAAAAATGGGCTGGAGTATTTGTACTGTGTCCCTGACCACAATTGCCGCTCAGTTGCTTAGCTCCCTGGCAACTATGCCTGAGGGCTAAACAGGAGTTGGTGTGATCATCCAGAAAAAGAACAGGCTTCTTGTCTTGCAGAGGCAGAAGTCAGAAAACACAGTGTGTGTGTGGGGGGGGGGGGGGCTGTCAGGTGGCACCGGACATGGGAGGCAAATCATGAAGAGTGGGCAATTGGCCAGGTGAGGTGGCTCACGCCTCTAATTCCAGCACTTTGAGAGGCCGGGACAGGTGGATTGCTTGAGCTCACAAGTTGGAGACCATCACACACAAGATGGTGAAACCCTTCTCTACAAAAAATACAAAAATTAGCCGGGCATGGTGATGTGCACTTGCAGCCCCAGCTACTTGGGAGGCTGAGGGGGGAGGATGGATGGCCTGAGCCCAGGAGGCGGAGGCCATCAAGACTGTGCCACTGCACTCCAGCCTGGGTGACAGAGTCAGACCTTGTCTTTTATTGATTTATTTTGAGACGGAGTCTCCCTCTGTCACCCAGGCTGGAGTGCAATGGCACAATCTTGGCTCACTGCAAGCTCTGCCTCCTGGGTTCGAGCGATTCTCCTGCCTCAGCCTCCCGAAGTAGCTGGGATTACAGGTACCCACCACCACGCCCGGCTAATTTTTTGTATTTTTAGTAGAGACGGGGTTTCACCACGTTAGCCAGGATGGTCTCGATCTCCTGACCTTGTGGTCCGCCCGCCTCGGCCTCCCAAAGTGCTGGGATTACAGGCATGAGCCACCACGCCTGGCCCAGACCTTGTCTTTAAAAGTAAAGAGAAGAAAGAGTGGGCCGGGCGCGGTGGCTCAAGCCTGTAATCCCAGCACTTTGGGAGGCCGAGACGGGCGGATCACAAGGTCAGGAGATCGAGACCATCCTGGGTAACACAGTGAAACCCCGTCTCTACTAAAAATACAAAAACTTAGCCGGGCGAGGTGGCAGGCGCCTGTAGTCCCAGCTACTCGGGAGGCTGAGGCAGGAGAATGGCGTGAACCCGGGAGGCGGAGCTTGCAGTGAGCTGAGATCCGGCCACTGCACTCCAGCCTGGGTGACAGAGCGAGACTCCGTCTCAAAAAAAAAAAAAAAAAAAAAAAAAAAAAAAAGAAAGAGTGGGCAATCCTAGCTAGGTGTAGTGGCTCAGGCCTATAATTCTAGCACTTTGGGACGCTGAGGCAGGTGGATTGTTTGAGCTAAAGAGTTTGAGACCAGCCTGGGCAACATGGCAAAACCCTGTCTCTGCAAAAAAATATAGAAATTAGCCAGGCATGGTGGCGCATGCCTGTAATGCCAGCTACTCAAGAGACTGAGACAGAATTGCGTGAACCCAGGAGGTCGAGATTGCAGTGAGCCAGGATCTTGGCTACTGCTCCCCAGCCTGGATGACAGAGTGAGCCTGTCTCAAAAAAAAAAAAAAGAAAGAAAGAAAGAAACTAACAATCCTCAAAGTATCCAAGAACAACTAACTACACTCCCCAAAGAGAAAACCAGCTGGATTGCTTAGGCCTTGGCTGTAGTCACTAAAGAATGGCATCAATCTCAGAAACCCTGAAGATGGGATCAATTTAGGAAGAGGCTGTTTGTTCTGTACTGTCTCTGGCCTCCACCCAAGGTCTGGCATCAACCACCCTTCAAGCTCATAGTTCAGCGAGGTTAGAGCACTTAGGGAGAAGTGGGGAACACAGCCAAGTTTTGAGAGAAGACCAGCACACAGCTCTCAGGGATCTGGATAGAGAAGACTAAATTACTGTGGTTCAGGCAGTCTTGCCAGGTGATGTCTTCCCAAAACTTCTCAGATGTATATTCCTCCCTGATTGTGCCACCGAGGCCTCCTTTCCTTCAGTTTGGGCCTTCAAACTTCCACCAATAACGTGTGAGTATGTGCCCCCATGCAGGAGCTTGTCCTGGGACTCACAACTGGAAACATCTCCCTGCTTGGTGCTGCCCAGAAGACCATGTAGATGGCCAAGAAACCGACTTCCATTATAAAATTGTTTGTGTGTGTACCAGGAAAAAGATGCTCAAAATCCAAATCACCACTTTATTATGTGGCAGTCACCATGGTGCCAGCCTCTGTCTTCCCCATGTCACCCTCCTAATCCAGGGCTCTCCAATCATTTTCTCTTTTTTTTTTTTTTTTTTTTTGAGACGGAGTCTCGCTGTCGCCCAGGCTGGAGTGCAGTGGCGCGATCTCGGCTCACTGCAAGCTCCGCCTCCCGGGTTTACGCCATTCTCCTGCCTCAGCCTCCCGAGTAGCTGGGACTACAGGCACCCACAACCGCGCCCGGCTAATTTTTTGTATTTTTAGTAGAGACGGGGTTTCACCGTGGTCTCGATCTCCTGACCTTGTGATCCGCCCGCCTCGGCCTCCCAAAGTGCTGGGATTACAGGCGTGAGCCACCGCGCCCGGCCTTCCAATCATTTTCATGTTTGAGTTTCACAAGTCAATGTCCATTAAGGCCTTGTGCTCCCCTTTTCTTCAATACAAGGCAGGGTCCATATAATTTGGGTCTCAAGAATTGATAGTTGTCTCTTAACTGGTCCTGGTGAGGTGCACTCACAGCAGTGGAGGGCCCTGGGAGGGCACAGATGAGGGAGGCTACCCCAAGAGGGGCTGGATGTAGGAGCAGAGACATTTCTTGATCTTTCACTCTGCAAACTGGTCCAAGAACTTGAGGTAGGCCTGACGCTGGGCTGCAGCTGCTGGAATGAAGTGGCCACCAGAGTGGGTGAGGGTGATGGCTCCGGGGAATCGGCTGGCCAATTGCATACTCTCCGGAGAGGGGATGACTTTGTCAGTGTCCCCGAAAACATGGAGTGAAGGCAATGACAAGGGCCTTTGCAGGATGGATTCCTTGAACCCAAGGCCCCGGGGACAGAAACCAGATACCAAGATGATAAACCGTGGCAAGGGGAAGCGGGGATCGCCTGCCTGGCCCAGGGCACATATAAAGGCTGCTAGCGCAGCCCCTTGGCTGAAACCAAGAAGGCCGTCAAAAGGCCCCAGCCTGCTGAGTGCCTGCGCCACCATCCCCAGGGATTCCTCCAGGCCCCTGCATACGGCGGGCTCTTCCAATGCGGAGAAAACGTCCGCCTCCTGCTCTGAAAACCACCAGCCTCGAGGCTGCTCCTCTGGAGGGCAGGACCCTACAGCGGTATGGGGAAAGAGGATGGGATTAGGGCATGGGAGGCTCCAGGAAGGAAAGAAATGAGAAAGGGCGGGAGGGTTCCAGATGACAGGAAAAGAGGGAATCGAGGCGAAAGTCTGGGGGAAATGAGAGGCGGGGAATGGATTGGCCTGAACAGGAGACAGCGGAAGACGACGACGAAGGCGGAAGCCTGGGAGGACAGGCTGCAGTTTGAGCAAGAGGGTATGGGCCGCGAGAAACGAAGGGTGTGGACTGGGTGGGAGGAATGAGGGTGGACGCAGGGTGGGGGATGCTGAGGGGTGTCGAGGGGACGAAACATGAGGGAGAAAACTGAGCGTATTTCCGGAGCAGGGCTCGTCTCACCGAAGTCTGATCTGGCGCCCTCGGGGCCCGGGGCGTCGGGGACCGGGTGCGGGCCGCTGAGGCACACGAGCTCGGCGCGGGCCCGCAGCGCCTTCCTCAGCGCCCCGGTCTTCTCGCGGAAGCCCCGCTCGCTCTGCCGGAAGCCCGCCAGGCACAGGACCCGCAGGGGTCGCTGCGCGGCCATTATGACCGGCAAGGAGCGACGGAAGCACCGGAAGCGGTCTTTCCCCGACCGGAAGTAGAATGCAAAGGGCGGAGCCAATAGTCCGCAACACCCTGAAGGCGGGCCTTGGAGCGCCAAGGCGTTCCCATGACAACGGCAAAGGGCGGGGCGCAGCCAGAGCAAGGGCGGATACCTGAGGCCCCGGAGCTTGTCAAGGAGCAAGCGGCGCCACCTTCTTGTCTCTGCAGCTGCAGTCCTCGCAAGCCACGGCTGAAGGGGGATGCGTGGACCCCTCCTGCACCTGAGGTTGCAGACTTTGGTCAGGGTCTCGTTTCTGCGACCCTGCATTTCCCTCCGCTCCGCTCCTGTGCATTTCCCGTCGCGGTCGCAGGGCGGCGGCCTCGGCTCGTGTCGCCAGGGAGGCGGCCAGTGCCCAGGCGCGGTCTCTCCTCCCTCCGGGCAGCCCCCGCCTACCTTCCCCCGCGTGGGTCGGCCCGGGGTCTGGGGACGCCGGTCCAGGCCGTGGTTCACCGTCCAGGGCCCCAAGGAGCTGCCAGCGTAGAAGTCCATCGGGTAGGGCTGCTGCCAGGAAATGTCCCTCAGAGCCACGGCCGCCTAGGGGAGGGGAGCGGAAAATAGCATTCGCCAGTGTTTTTCTGCTCCTGGATTACTGAATTCAGTCCTCACGACGACGGCCTGTGAAGGGCACACTGTCCCCCACCACAGAAGGGAAATGTGTGGTTCGGAGAGGTTCAGGGCCTTGCCTAAGGCTACACAGCTAGGAGGTGACTCCGTTGGAGAAATCGAGACAGTCAGACTCCGGAATCTATGAACATAGCAAAATGTTGCCCACCCACACCACTCCACTGCAGACCTCGCCTTTGAGAACCACGTCTAAAGCCCACTCTCTCCCAGAGCTTGGTGTTACCTCATAGGGTGTCAGCAGAGGCTTGGGGAAGGCTGTGCCCCAGTCAATGGAGAGACGTGGACATGCCACCTGCACCCACCTGGAAAGGGAAGCCAGGTCAGACCCTAGGAAGGGTCTCCTCTGCCAGCAGCATGCTGAAGACCATGACAGTGCCCCAGCACACCCATTCATTAACAGGCTTTATGAATCCTAAAGTAAAGACAGTGACCCACTGCTGTTTGGAATACCGTGTTGTTGCGTGTTTTCTCCTGTTTCCTCTGCCGACAATGAGCTTTCCAGGGCAGCTCACTGGTGATAGTACCCCCAGAACCAAATTTAGTACCTGGTACAGGGCAGGTGTCAGCCACCACTCAAAACGCATCTCACAAGGACAAATGTGATGGTGCCATTGCCTGTGAGCCCCAGAGTCCCAAAGCAGGGATGACCCAGTTAGCCCTCCCAGGGAGGTCTCTGTAAACATTAAAATTCCATGGCCATGGAAGCAATTCCTGTTGGCTCCAGCCTTTAAGACGAGATGGGCAAGACCCAGCTTCTAAGTTTCTTTAGCCAATCATAGCCAAGCAGGTAAGGTGGGGGAACTCACACATCCACCTCGGGAAGTAGGCCAAGCTTGCTGGGGAAGATCTCAGAGAGCAGCAGCCTCACGAAGGAAAGGCCCAAGGCTCGGAGTCGAGATTCCAGGTGCTGTTGGGAGAGGGAGACAGGGTGGGGGTCACCTAATCAAGCAAAGGTGAACCTGTGGCCTACAGGTTTTCCCAGCTGTGTTCCCAGCCACTGCCCTCCTCCAGAGGCTGTCCTGAGCCCACTGACCTCCAGGATCTTAGGACTGCCCTGGCGGCCCAGAGTGCCCAGAATAAGGCCCCAGGACTTAGCGGAGCGGGCGGTGGCTATGGCTTCCTGGCGAGCAGCCCGCATGCGCTGGTGGTCATAGTGCTCTCTGGACAGGACTTTGCTGTACGGGTCATACCTGGAAAAGCAGCAGTCAGGGTCACAGTGCAGCCACTGTGGGGACTACGACTGTGCACACAGCTCCTGACTCAGCCCCGTGGGCTCCTGAACCTTTAGGCCCCACGCAGGTAATTAGGAACAGAGGCAAGAGCGGGGATTGTCATTAGGAAGACCTGTCCCATAGCTGAGCAGACACAAGAGACGGCGGCTTTAGGATCTCAGTGGAAACCCCAGGAGACGGGTAGGCAACAGCAGCCCTGGAGCTAATGCCCAGATCCAGGGCCCGAGTGCCTCAGATCCTTAGGGCTGGTGGCTCAGTGGCCAGGAAATGGGGATGCAGCCCATTGAGGGCCTCGGTGGCGGGAGTCTCACCCCACACTAGCTGGTCAGCCCAGCCCGGCCCAGCTCATACCGGTAAGCGGGGACATTGGGGTTGGCAATCATGACAGACTCCAGATGGAAGCGGCCATCTCCAAGATACCTGCAGGGGTGGAAAGGAGGCTGTGAGTGTGGTTTGGGGCAGCAGAAGAGGCACTTGCTGGCTTAGAAGTCCACAGGGCTGGCGGGGCACGGTGGCGCACGCCTGTAATCCCAGCACTTTGGGAGGCCGAGGCGGGCAGATCACGAGGTCAGGAGATAAAGACCATCCCGGCTAGCAAGGTGAAACCCCGTCTCTACTAAAAATACAAAAAACTTAGCTGGGCATGGTGGCACGCATCTGTAGTTCCAGCTACTGGGGAGGCTGAGGCAGAAGAATCACTTGAACCTGGGAGGCGGAGGCTGCAGTGAGCCGAGATCGTACCACTGCACTCCAACCTGGGTGACAGAGCGAGACTCTGTCTCAAAAAAAAAAGTCCAGAGGACTGAGTTCCCGGCTGGCTGTGCTGTGACTCTGTGTGAACTGGGACAAGCCATCATTTCACCTCTTGGAGCCTTGGTTTTCTCACATGTGAGATGAGGAGTTTGAACTGGATGACTCTATTTACATAATGCAGAATCGAGGAACTGTCCCACCCCAAGCTTCTGGGGAAGAGTGAAGGAGCAGCCCGGCCACGGGGAGGCCACCTGGGGTTCTAGAGATCCTCATTTGGAAGTTGGGGAACAGCTTCTCCTTTACAAGCTCCATACAGATGTGGACAGTAGTGTTCAAGTAACCAACATTTCTGGCACTGTGGAAGACAGTTTTTCACAGACACGGGTGGGAGTGGGGGATGGTTTCAGGATGAAACTGTCCCACCTCAGATCATCAGGCATTAGAATCTCAGAAGGATCATGCAGCCTAGATCCCTCACAGACACAGGTCACGGCAGGGTTTGAGCTACGAGAATCTCACGCCATGGTGGATCTGACAGGAGTGGCGCTCAGGCGGTCATGCTGGCTGGCCCACCCCTCACCTTCCACTGTGCGGCAGGGTTCCTAACAGGCCATGGGACCAGGGTTGGGGACCTCTGATCGATGCTGTACATGAGGTCGCAGGGCATACAACGGCTACTTTCTGCCCAAACTAGCTCTTGGGCCCAGTTACTGAGTTACAACAATAGCTACCTCATTTTCATTTTGTTGTTGTTGTTTTTTTCAGACAGGGTCTTACTCTGTCATCCAGGCTGAGTGATTCAGTCACGGCTCACTGCAGCCTCAACCTCCCAGGCTCAAGCGATCCTGTCACCTAAGCCTCCTGAGGAGCTGGGACTCCAGGCATGGACACCATACCCAGCCAATTTTCCTTCTTTCCTTTTCCTTTCTCTTTTCTTTTTTGGAGAGAACAGGGTTTCATGATGTTGCCCAGGCTGGTCTCAGACTCCTGGACATATGCAATTCTCCTGCCTTGGCCTCCCAAAGTGTTGGGATTACAGGCGTGAGCCACCGCGCCCGGCCAACAGCTACTGTGTATTGGACTTGTGCCTTCTATGTACCAGGCACAGACTAAGTACCTGAAGTGAATTAGTTCACGCAGTCCTATCTACTCATCCTCCAAGATACATATAGTATACCTATTTTACAGAAGATACAACTGAGGCTCAGGGATGTTAAGAAACTTGCCTAATATTAAACAGCTAGGAAGCAGTGTATCTGAAGCTCAGCCCCAGGCTGTACCAAGTGTGCCCGTAGACATGCTGTCCCTGACAGTAGCTTCCCAGCCCTGCAGACTCCAGAGTGTGGAAGATAACCTGCCTGTGGCAGCTCCTTCTCTCCCTCTTGGAGGCCACACTTCATTCTGATGAATGGCTAACACTCAGGGTGTCCCTCCCTCCAACATACACTTTGAAGCCCCCAAGGGTAGAAACCGAGTGGTGCGGGCACAGGGGGAATGCAGCTCAGGGAGCAGGGCTGCCAGGTCTGGGCTGGGGAAGGCCCTGATGTGGACCTGTCTAGGGGCAGGGGTGTCAGGCCTGTGGGAACAGCCTCTGAAGTCCCAGACGTGGGACTGAGCCAGGGAGTGCCCCTCCCTCCCAGACATTAGTAAGGAACAGGGCTCCCTTCCCTGGTCCCAGCTGGGGGAGCTGTCGGCTCTCAGGCTGGCTGCATTCACACAACATTAAGCATTTCCATTACCTAAAATAATTAGGCGGCAGGAGACACACTGCTTCTGCTTGTTAGCTGTCCGGATGGTAAATTAATGGGGCTGCAGCCTGGGCGTGCCCATCCATCTTCTCCAATTATATTCCCACCATTTCCAGCCCACCCTCATCCCCCGCATCAGCCCCTCTGACTCCTGCCCCCACCCTGCACAGCTTTCTGGGTGGTGGACTGGGCAATGGAGAAAGCGACAGTAAACCTGAAGTCTGGTCCCTGTTTGGTCCCCACCTTGCAGTGTGACCTTGGGCAGGTAAGGAACATTAGATTTGGTTTCTTTCCTGGATGATGAACCTCAGGCTCCCTCCCAGGATACACTCATGTCTCTAGGATGTACTTGGCCCCCATTTTTAACTTACACAACGGCCTCCACCTCTTCGGGCAGTCGGGGGGATGTGCAGCCCAGAATCTCTCCAGGGGACAGGGGCTTGCACTGTGGGACACTCACACGGTACTCAGCTTTCAGCTCCTGGGCGGCTGCCTGTAGGAATGACGAGGGAAGGGAAGCCAGTGGCTGGGGCAGGAGAGCCAGGGCTGAGAAACAGCCTGGAGCACCTGGGGATCCAGCAACAGCCAGAGAGCGGCTGCTGTCCACCCTGCGGGAGGCCGAGGATCCTCGTTCCACTCACCTGCAAGGTCGACACAAACTGAATGGTGCTGACCAGGGCAAGGGCGGTGGCTGGGGGAAAGGTGAGGCGGAGAGAGTCCAGGAGGTGGGCAGTGTCTATCCGGATGTCCACAAAGACGTACAGCACCCGGAAGTCTTGGGCCGAGGTGTCCATGGGAACTGCGGGAGGGAGGAGTTCAGGGGCTGTTTGGGAGGCAGGAGCAGCAGAGGGCCCGGCCCAGGCTCAGGTCTCTGAGCAACCAGGCCCAGTGGCTTCAGCCTGGGGGTAAAAGGGCAGGGTAGGAGAAGAGGGGGTCACGGGTCCCCAAGAAGCGCCTTCTCAATCAGACTTCTCTGTCACCCGGCCAGGGCCTGGCCTGCTCTACGACCAGCAGTCTTTCAAACACCCGCATCTGGGACAGAGCACAGTTGCCAAGGCAACCAAATCCAAAGGAAAGATGTACCTGCAGAGCAGGCAGGCAGAGGCCACCCCAGAAACCAGGAGGGACCTCGTGTCTCCAAGCAGGACAAGAAGCCACTGCCGTGGGGAAGACGAGTGTGCAGCCTGCCCCCCTGCCAGCCCCGCCACTGTCCAGGTGTCCTGGTCCCGCCATACCCAGGCAACTGTGGCCATAGTGCACCAAGAAGTCAGCTCCCAGGGCCCTCGCCGTGAAGTCATCCACACAGCAAGCCCCATAGGTCACGTCACCCATCACCATCACTTCAGCCTCCGTGAACCTGTGGGGGGGGCGGAGAGTGGGACAGGGACACAGGGAGTGGGGTGGGAGAGACCCAATGCTGGGAGGGTGTCTCAGGGCCCAGCTCCTCTCTCCCTACTTCTCCAGTTCCTTGGGTTGGCAGCTGCCACTTCTGCCAACAAAGAGTAGGAGGGGCACAGCTGCCACCTCCCCCAGCCTGGCAACCGCTCCTGGAACTGTTGCTGCACGAGGACCCTCATTCCTCTGCCCAGGCTCAGGCTGCAGGAGGGACCCCAACCCTCAGTCCGGCATACATGGGGTCAAAACACAGATGTCCCCTGCCCTGACTCACCCACCCAGAGCAGTGAGCACGCACATACACGCAAAGGTCCTCACTCTCACGCTGAGGCTGCGGTGGGCGTAGGTGTGGCTGTATGGATACACACAGCCCCCATCTCGCCTGGACCCCCACTCCCTCCCCACCACAGGCAGGGCCCCCACTCCCTCCCCACCACAGGACCCCACTTCCTCCCCACCACAGGCAGGGCCCCCACTCCCTCCCCACCACAGGACCCCCACTCCCTCCCCACCATAGACAGGGCCCTCTCGCCTGGACCCCCACTCCCTCCCCACCACAGGCAGGGCCCTCTTGCCTGGACCCCCACTCCCTCCCCACCACAGGCAGGGTCCTCTTGCCTGGACCCCCACTCCCTCCCCACCACAGGCAGGGCCCTCTTGCCTGGACCCCCACTCCCTCCCCACCACAGGCAGGACCCCCACTACCTCCCCACCACAGGCAGGGTCCTTGGTGCACAGGACGGGGGACCCAGGCACAGGTCCCCCACAGCACATGGCGCCACCTACATGCCTCCTGCCTCAGGAAGAGGAGGCTCCGGCCAGAACACTGCGGTGGGATCTGCTGCCAGGCCAGAATCACTGGGGGAGGGGGTGGGTGGGGAAGATGTGGGTGGGGAAGACCCTGTACCCCTAAACTCACCCTAGGAATGGAGGAGAACCCCCTCTTCCTTGGAAGAGACTCACACTTGGGGTGTGGAGCCTGGCTCAGTGACTGGGGTCCCCCCATCTTTCCCCTGGGGGTGTGGCAGTGGAAGAGTTGAGCTCCTGCTAGTCACCCCCTCCTCCACCGCCTTCCCCAAATCAGGCTGTGCCCAGAAGCAGATTATTTAGCTCCTTAGAATGCAGCCCAAGCATCTGAGTCAGCCAGAGCACTTAATTTTTTATAGATTAAAATGTATGCAAATTGGCCTGAGCCCCAGAGAGCATCCCCAAGGGGCAATAGGGTAGGAGCAGGGAAGTGAGTTTGTGGTAACAGGATGGTGGGGGGAAGGAGGCAGCAGGGGAAGGGGAGGGGGCAACAGGGGAGGGGGAGGGGAGCAGAGGAGGGGCAACAGGGGAGGGGGAAGGGGCAACAAGGGAGGCAGGGGGGAGCAGGGGAGGGGGGAGCAGGGGAGGGGGATGGGGCAGCAGGGGAGGGGGATGGGGGAGCAGGGGAGGGGAAGGGGGAACAGGGGAGGGGAAGGGGGAACAGGGGAGGGGGAAGGGGCAACAGGGGAGGGGGAGGAAGCAGGAGGGGAGGCAGAGGGGTGAGATAGGGAGGGGGCAAGAGGGAAGGGGGAGGGAGAGCAGGGGAGGGGGATGGGGAGCAGGGGAGGGAGGGGGATGGGGCAGCAGGGGAGTGGGAGGTTCCCAGCATGGGATGACGTCCCCTTTCTTCCTTCCCCTCCCCTGTTCCTGTGCTGGTTCCAGATGGCTAAGCTCTCACCCTCCCCACCAAGGATGGCTCATTGTATTGCAGAAACTTAGAGTGACAGGGGTAGGATGTAGAGGAACTGAATACCTTCTCCCAGACACTCCGTGCTCCAAACCCATCCTTGCTCTACTTCCCCAAATGTGCCTGAGGAAAAGGTGCCCCCGGCGCCCCCACCAGCAGACCTCTCACTGACCACTCAGCACATTTCAGGGGCGGCTTGGAGAATTCTCAGGTTCCTCCCTGGGTCCTACCACCTGCTCTGGGTGCAGCTTTGAAGACGCTGGGATTGGTTTCTTTCTCTGTCCCAAATGTTTAGGGAGGAGAGATTTGCAGGGACACGCAGGGCCTCAGCAAGCTGGAGATTTGTTTCGGGTTTTCCCTTAGTGTGTGCGTGGTTGTGGGAGGGAAAGGGGGACGGCGGAGGTCCAGAAGGAAAAAATGCCCGCCACCAGGGCATTAACCACCCGGGTAATGAGCATAGGGGGTGGGAGCAGCCTGGCTCAGCCTCCTCTCCAGGGTCCCAAGCCTCACCTTTCCAAGATATCCACGATGGTACAGGCAAAGAGGAGGAGGCCTTCCGGCATTTGCAAGGCCACTGCGAGACAGAGCAAAGACGTGAGAGGTGGAGGGCTAGGAAGGGGCTGCAAGGGGGACGCTGTCCCATCCGGGCCAGGCAGCCCCTCCACCCCCACCCCAGCTCAATGATCACGGGCTCACCCTTCTTGGCCTGGGCTTGTTGGATCCTCCAGATGGTCTTGGGGATCTCAAAGTTGTAGTTGGAAGGCAGGACCTGGATTGCTGCCTGCAGCTGGGAGTTCTTCAGGATCTCAGGGGGGATCTGATTGGCCACGCGGCCCCGAGGGGCCCGAACTAGAATGGATATAAGGCCTGAGCTGGTGTCTGTCTTTGGCCGCAGCCAGACTGAGGTGGAATAGGGACCCCTTTTCAGGGTCTGTCGGTGCCCCTACTCAAGCATAGAAATAAAAAATTTTGAGTCATCTCAAGAAAAGTCCCAGGCATCTTAGCTAGCCCTATAACCAGCAATTAGGGAAGTCAGTAACTTGCTAAACAAGAAGATAATAAACAACAGTCACTCAAGTCAGAGTCATGAGATGTCTGGTTCCCCATAGGAACTAAAGATAACATCTTGACATATAGCCCTAAGTTGTTTTTCGGAAACCAGGACCCCCCCACCAGATGAAAAATGCCAACTAATTGCTGTCATGTAAGACCTAAGACAGACTGAAGCCAGAAAGTAGGTAAGAAATTTCCAGAAATTCCCCAGCCCTTAATTCACTTTAAAGACCCCCTGCAGCCCAGCCTTTAAAAACCCTTTGTGAGGCCGGGCGCGGTGGCTCAAGCCTGTAATCCCAGTACTTTGGGAGGCCGAGGCGGGTGGATCACGAAGTCAGGAGATCGAGACCATCCTGGCTAACATGGTGAAACCCCGTCTCTACTAAAAATACAAAAAACTAGCCGGGCGTGGTGGCGGGCGCCTGTAGTCCCAGCTACTCGGAGGCTGAGGCAGGAGAATGGCGTAAACCCGGAAGGCGGAGCGTGCAGTGAGCCGAGATCGCGCCACTGCACTCCAGCCTGGGTGACACAGCGAGACTCCGTCTCAAAAAAAAAAAAAAAAAAAAAAAAAAAAAAAAAAAAAACCCTTTGTGGCCGGCACCACAGCTCACGCCTGGAATCCCAAAGTGCTGGGAGACTGAGGCGGGCGGATCACGAGGTCAGGAGATCGAGACCATCCTGACTAGCAAGGTGAAACCCCGTCTCTACCAAACATACAAAAACTTAGCCGGGCATGGTGGCGGGCGCCTGTAATCCCAGCTACTCTGGAGGCTGAGGCAGGAGAAATGGCGTGAACCCGGGAGGCGGAGCTTGCAGTGAGCCAGGACTGCGCCACTGCACTCCAGCCTGGGCAACAGAGCGAGACTCCGTCTCTAAATAAATAAATAAATAAATAAAATTTAAAAAATAAAAACCCTTTGCTTGCAAGCCATCAGGGAGTTTAGGTCTTAAGCCTCAGCTGCCCAGTCTCCCTGCTTGGCGTCTTACAATAAATGCTTGTTCTCTCCCTGCAAATCTCAATGTCAGTGTTTGGCTTTGCTTTGTGAGGACAGGGAGACCCAAGTTGAGTTCAGTAACAAGACCCAGCTAAGCTGTTAACTCCACCGAGTTTAAGGGCCAGATCCAGACACCAAGGGGGTTGGCCCAGCTTTCGTTCTCACTGAATTCATCCCGAAGGTAGAGACAATTCATTAAGCCAGAAGGTAACCGGTATAATTTCCATGTTGTGAAATTACTGGGAATGGAAGACTTGAGCCCATGAATAGAATATGGCTCACCTTCTTCCTCAGGAGAGTAGAGGTGACACCAGGGGGCTAAGGAGCAAAGAATGAGTCTGAGCCCACATACTGCTCCTTGATAGAGAACAGCCCTGCGGGCCGGGCGCGGTGGCTCACGCCTGTAATCCCAGCACTTTGGGAGGCCCAGACGGGCGGATCACGAGGTCAGGAGATCCAGACCATCCTGACTAACACGGTGAAACCCCGTCTCTACTAAAAATACAAAAATTAGCCGGGCGCGGTGGCGGGCGCCTGTAGTCCCAGCTACTCGGGAGGCTGAGGCAGGAGAATGGCGGGAACCCGGGAAGGCGGAGCTTGCAGTGAGTGGAGATCGCACCACTGCACTCCAGCCTGGGCGACAGAGCGAGACTCTGTCTCAAAAAAAAAAAAAAATAGGCCGGGCGCGGTGGCTCAAGCCTGTAATCCCAGCACTTTGGGAGGCCGAGACGGGCGGATCACGAGGTCAGGAGATCGAGACCATCCTGGCTGACACGGTGAAACCCCGTCTCTACTGAAAAAATACAAAAAACTAGCCGGGCGAGGTGGCGGGTGCCTGTAGTCCCAGCTACTCGGGAGGCTGAGGCAGGAGAATGGCGTGAACCCGGGAGGCGGAGCTTGCAGTGAGCTGAGATCCGGCCACTGCACTCCAGCCTGGGCGGCAGAGGGAGACTCCGTCTCAAAAAAAAAAAAAAAAAAAAAAAAAATAATAATAATAATAATAATAATGAAAAGAGAACAGCCCTAATAATAATAATAAAAGAGAACAGCCCTGCGGAAAACCCAAGAGTCAGTCTAGCCAGCCCAGCCACCCTGGGAGAATGTCTCCTCACTCCCACCTCCTGAGGATGCCTTGAAGGTTTGAGCTTCTAGATATGAGGTCTATAAGCAAACCATTAAACATGAATACTAACTTAAAAGACTGCCCTCCTTACTCCGAATCCCACTGACTATGGCCACACTGGTTAATTCTTTCACACTTACCTCTCCTCATTTAAAAGGGAAATAAACATCATACACTGACTTAGTTGTCCCATTGCTCCTCCTTACTCTTAAGCCAGGAAAGATGGGAAGAACACTTGAGTCAGGGTGGTGGACGTACCAGTAAGGACAGAAAAGTGACCTTGTCCCTTAGGGACCAGTAGTCTAGCAAAGACAGGTTTACACATAATTACAACTCCTGGAGTAAAGGGGAAACCGTAGCGCTTAGCAAGACTGCAGCCCTTACTCTGGTCTCACCCTGTTCCCCACAATTCAGCTTATTATTTTTTAAGGCAGGGTCTCACTCCATCACCCAGGCTGGAGCGCAGGGGCGCAGTCATGGTCCACTGCGGCCTTGACCTCCTGGGCTCAAACGATAATCCTCCCACCTCAGCCTCCCCAGTAGCTAGGACTACAAGCACTGCCAAGACGCACAGCTTTTTCTTTTTTTTTAGGCAGAATCTCACTCTGTCCGCCAGGCTGGAGTGCAGTGGCACCATCTCATCTCACCGCAACCTCAGCCTCCCGGGCTCAAGCAATTCTCCTGCCTCAGCCTCCCAAGCAGCTGGGATTACAGGCATGCACCACAACGCCTGGCTAATTTTTGTATTTTTAGTAGAGACAGGGTTTCAACATGTTGGCCAGGCTGGTCTTGAACTCCTGACATCAGGTGATCCGCCCACCTCTGCCTCCCAGAGTGCTGGGATTACAGGTGTGAGCCACCTCGCCCAGCCACACACAGCTATTTTTTAATTTTTTTGTGCATACAGGGTCCCCCTATCTTGCCCAGCCTGGTGTGGAATTCCTGGGCTCACACAATCCTCCTCAGCCTCCCAAAGTGCTCAGACTAAAGGTGTAAGCCACTATGCCCTGCCCCCACATTAAGCTTAGTTCAACCCCGATATCTCTTTAGGAGCCAGTCTGAGGATACGAAAAGGCAAGAAATTAACTTATTCAACGAATATGTATTGAGACTGTACTGTGTGCCACAACTTCTGCTAAGGCCCCACACTATGATAGGAGGGATCCGCTCAGATTTGAGGCTTCACCCACCGTGTGGGCGGCGGTGGGGATGGTTCAGTGGAGATCTAGTCTGGCAGGCTGGGACCCTGAGACCAGATTTGAACGTTACCACTGCTATGGTTTTTGGTCAGTTGTTTCGAAAGCCTTGGACAATCAGCCTAGGCTTCCTAGGCCCATCACAGATCCTCCTCTGACAGGTCCCTAGTGGTCGTTGGGGTGTAGGAGCTGCTAACATTAGCCCTTCAATGTGTCCCAGGGGCCAGGAGGCACCTCCTCCTTCATCACAAAGCTATGATATGTTTACATTAACATTCCCCCAGTAGACTGAGATCTCTGATCCCAGTACCTGCACCCAGCGCAGGCCTGGCATTCGGTGGGCGCCTAGTTAATGCCTGGCGAATGAAACCTTGTGCCTCTTCCCTGAAAGCATTCCCTGAGGGAGCACTCGTAAGACGCCAGCTGCAACGGGCCTGGCCCCTTCCCTCCCCGTCGAGTCCGTTTTATCCGTCAATCTTCCTGCGTCCGTCTGCCCGCTAAGGCAAGGCTGTAGTTTCCGATTTGAGGATTCAGGGCTGCTCTCGGTCGCGCCCTAAAGCTGCAAAAGACTGGTACCCCTGGGCTCCGGTTGACAGCGACCCCCAGGTGGTGACAGCGGCCCAAGGCGACTAACAGCGGGATCTAGAGAAGACGCTGCCGCCGTTAAAGGGGGTCGGTCCTATCCCTAACTTGGGGGCCCCGCCCCGAGATGCGAGGTCTGGAGGGCGCAGCGTTGCAGCACCCACCTCTGCCAGGGCCGTTTCGGCCGCCCTGCTCCGCTGCCCGGGACACAACCAGCGCCGCCATCACTTGCCTGAGCACGTGGTACTAAAAAGACAGCGCTGGAAGAACGCGGAGAGCGCAGACATTGCGATCGATCGCCGATCGGTCAGCAGGGGGCGGGGATACCCGCTGGGCGGGGCCATAAAGGAGGAGATAGGAGCGGGGCTATACGGAGTTCCACCCCAGCCCAGAATGCCGGGACTCGGGATTCCCTGGTGGTCCCCGACCACTGCAGTTGCCCTCTCCCTGCGACTCAGTCTCCCACTCCTCTCCCCCCCCGGCCGTGCACGAGCCTGCCACTCCCGGACCAGAGCTCTCCTATGTGCTAACTCCCTGCACGAGCTTTGCAGGCCGAGTCTTGTGAAGGGGGACACCCACCAGATCTTCCTTCAGACCCCCTGCCAGTCTCCCCCCTCCTGGTAAGCAGTGGCCGGTCACCCGGCCGCCGTGTGGGGCCACGTTCCCTACCTAGGGGGACCCCACTGTCCGGCAGGACAGAACTCAGGGACCACCAGCCCAACTCCAAGTTGAGAGTCTTGGTGCAGGTTTCTGGATCGTCCTTATCACCTTAAAAAAATTTTTTTTTTTTTTTTTTGAGACAGGATCTTGGTCTGTCGCCCAGGCTGGAGTGCAGTGGTGCGATCATTGTTCACAGCAGTCTCAATCTTATGGGCTCAGGCCATCTTCCTGCCTCAGCCCCCTGAGTACCCAGGACCACAAGCGTGCGTTCAGTTAAGTTTTTTGTTTTTTGTTTTTAATAGAGATAAGGTTTCACTGTTTTGCCCAGGCTGGTCTTGAACCTCTGGACTCAAGCAATCCTCCCACTTTGGCCTCCCAAAGTGCTGGGATTACAGATGTGAGCCACTGCACCCAGCCCTTATCACCTTTAGAATCCACCATGTAGGCCGGGCGCGGTGGCTCAAGCCTGTAATCCCAGCACTTTGGGAGGCCGAGATGGGCGGATCACAAGGTCATTAGATCAAGACCATCCTGGCGAACACGGTGAAACCCTGTCTCTACTGAAAAAATACAAAAAACTAGCCGGGCGAGGTGGCGGGTGCCTGTAGTCCCAGCTACTCAGGAGGCTGGGGCAGGAGAATGGCGTAATCCCGGGAGGTGGAGCTTGCAGTGAGCTGAGATCCGGCCACTGCACTCCAGCCTGGGCGGCAGAGGGAGACTCCGTCTCAAACAAAAAAAAAAAATAATAATAATAATAATAATAATAATAATGAAAAGAGAACAGCCCTAATAATAATAATAAAAGAGAACAGCCCTGCGGAAAACCCAAGAGTCAGTCTAGCCAGCCCAGCCACCCTGGGAGAATGTCTCCTCACTCCCACCTCCTGAGGATGCCTTGAAGGTTTGAGCTTCTAGATATGAGGTCTATAAGCAAACCATTAAACATGAATACTAACTTAAAAGACTGCCCTCCTTACTCCGAATCCCACTGACTATGGCCACACTGGTTAATTCTTTCACACTTACCTCTCCTCATTTAAAAGGGAAATAAACATCATACACTGACTTAGTTGTCCCATTGCTCCTCCTTACTCTTAAGCCAGGAAAGATGGGAAGAACACTTGAGTCAGGGTGGTGGACGTACCAGTAAGGACAGAAAAGTGACCTTGTCCCTTAGGGACCAGTAGTCTAGCAAAGACAGGTTTACACATAATTACAACTCCTGGAGTAAAGGGGAAACCGTAGCGCTTAGCAAGACTGCAGCCCTTACTCTGGTCTCACCCTGTTCCCCACAATTCAGCTTATTATTTTTTAAGGCAGGGTCTCACTCCATCACCCAGGCTGGAGCGCAGGGGCGCAGTCATGGTCCACTGCGGCCTTGACCTCCTGGGCTCAAACGATAATCCTCCCACCTCAGCCTCCCCAGTAGCTAGGACTACAAGCACTGCCAAGACGCACAGCTTTTTCTTTTTTTTTAGGCAGAATCTCACTCTGTCCGCCAGGCTGGAGTGCAGTGGCACCATCTCATCTCACCGCAACCTCAGCCTCCCGGGCTCAAGCAATTCTCCTGCCTCAGCCTCCCAAGCAGCTGGGATTACAGGCATGCACCACAACGCCTGGCTAATTTTTGTATTTTTAGTAGAGACAGGGTTTCAACATGTTGGCCAGGCTGGTCTTGAACTCCTGACATCAGGTGATCCGCCCACCTCTGCCTCCCAGAGTGCTGGGATTACAGGTGTGAGCCACCTCGCCCAGCCACACACAGCTATTTTTTAATTTTTTTGTGCATACAGGGTCCCCCTATCTTGCCCAGCCTGGTGTGGAATTCCTGGGCTCACACAATCCTCCTCAGCCTCCCAAAGTGCTCAGACTAAAGGTGTAAGCCACTATGCCCTGCCCCCACATTAAGCTTAGTTCAACCCCGATATCTCTTTAGGAGCCAGTCTGAGGATACGAAAAGGCAAGAAATTAACTTATTCAACGAATATGTATTGAGACTGTACTGTGTGCCACAACTTCTGCTAAGGCCCCACACTATGATAGGAGGGATCCGCTCAGATTTGAGGCTTCACCCACCGTGTGGGCGGCGGTGGGGATGGTTCAGTGGAGATCTAGTCTGGCAGGCTGGGACCCTGAGACCAGATTTGAACGTTACCACTGCTATGGTTTTTGGTCAGTTGTTTCGAAAGCCTTGGACAATCAGCCTAGGCTTCCTAGGCCCATCACAGATCCTCCTCTGACAGGTCCCTAGTGGTCGTTGGGGTGTAGGAGCTGCTAACATTAGCCCTTCAATGTGTCCCAGGGGCCAGGAGGCACCTCCTCCTTCATCACAAAGCTATGATATGTTTACATTAACATTCCCCCAGTAGACTGAGATCTCTGATCCCAGTACCTGCACCCAGCGCAGGCCTGGCATTCGGTGGGCGCCTAGTTAATGCCTGGCGAATGAAACCTTGTGCCTCTTCCCTGAAAGCATTCCCTGAGGGAGCACTCGTAAGACGCCAGCTGCAACGGGCCTGGCCCCTTCCCTCCCCGTCGAGTCCGTTTTATCCGTCAATCTTCCTGCGTCCGTCTGCCCGCTAAGGCAAGGCTGTAGTTTCCGATTTGAGGATTCAGGGCTGCTCTCGGTCGCGCCCTAAAGCTGCAAAAGACTGGTACCCCTGGGCTCCGGTTGACAGCGACCCCCAGGTGGTGACAGCGGCCCAAGGCGACTAACAGCGGGATCTAGAGAAGACGCTGCCGCCGTTAAAGGGGGTCGGTCCTATCCCTAACTTGGGGGCCCCGCCCCGAGATGCGAGGTCTGGAGGGCGCAGCGTTGCAGCACCCACCTCTGCCAGGGCCGTTTCGGCCGCCCTGCTCCGCTGCCCGGGACACAACCAGCGCCGCCATCACTTGCCTGAGCACGTGGTACTAAAAAGACAGCGCTGGAAGAACGCGGAGAGCGCAGACATTGCGATCGATCGCCGATCGGTCAGCAGGGGGCGGGGATACCCGCTGGGCGGGGCCATAAAGGAGGAGATAGGAGCGGGGCTATACGGAGTTCCACCCCAGCCCAGAATGCCGGGACTCGGGATTCCCTGGTGGTCCCCGACCACTGCAGTTGCCCTCTCCCTGCGACTCAGTCTCCCACTCCTCTCCCCCCCCGGCCGTGCACGAGCCTGCCACTCCCGGACCAGAGCTCTCCTATGTGCTAACTCCCTGCACGAGCTTTGCAGGCCGAGTCTTGTGAAGGGGGACACCCACCAGATCTTCCTTCAGACCCCCTGCCAGTCTCCCCCCTCCTGGTAAGCAGTGGCCGGTCACCCGGCTGCCGTGTGGGGCCACGTTCCCTACCTAGGGGGACCCCACTGTCCGGCAGGACAGAACTCAGGGACCACCAGCCCAACTCCAAGTTGAGAGTCTTGGTGCAGGTTTCTGGATCGTCCTTATCACCTTAAAAAAATTTTTTTTTTTTTTTTTTGAGACAGGATCTTGGTCTGTCGCCCAGGCTGGAGTGCAGTGGTGCGATCATTGTTCACAGCAGTCTCAATCTTATGGGCTCAGGCCATCTTCCTGCCTCAGCCCCCTGAGTACCCAGGACCACAAGCGTGCGTTCAGTTAAGTTTTTTGTTTTTTGTTTTTAATAGAGATAAGGTTTCACTGTTTTGCCCAGGCTGGTCTTGAACCTCTGGACTCAAGCAATCCTCCCACTTTGGCCTTCCAAAGTGCTGGGATTACAGATGTGAGCCACTGCACCCAGCCCTTATCACCTTTAGAATCCACCATGTAGGCCGGGCGCGGTGGCTCAAGCCTGTAATCCCAGCACTTTGGGAGGCCGAGACGGGCGGATCACAAGGTCATTAGATCGAGACCATCCTGGCGAACACGGTGAAACCCTGTCTCTACTGAAAAAATACAAAAAACTAGCCGGGCGAGGTGGCGGGTGCCTGTAGTCCCAGCTACTCAGGAGGCTGGGGCAGGAGAATGGCGTAATCCCGGGAGGTGGAGCTTGCAGTGAGCTGAGATCCGGCCACTGCACTCCAGCCTGGGCGGCAGAGGGAGACTCCGTCTCAAACAAAAAAAAAAAATAATAATAATAATAATAATAATAATAATGAAAAGAGAACAGCCCTAATAATAATAATAAAAGAGAACAGCCCTGCGGAAAACCCAAGAGTCAGTCTAGCCAGCCCAGCCACCCTGGGAGAATGTCTCCTCACTCCCACCTCCTGAGGATGCCTTGAAGGTTTGAGCTTCTAGATATGAGGTCTATAAGCAAACCATTAAACATGAATACTAACTTAAAAGACTGCCCTCCTTACTCCGAATCCCACTGACTATGGCCACACTGGTTAATTCTTTCACACTTACCTCTCCTCATTTAAAAGGGAAATAAACATCATACACTGACTTAGTTGTCCCATTGCTCCTCCTTACTCTTAAGCCAGGAAAGATGGGAAGAACACTTGAGTCAGGGTGGTGGACGTACCAGTAAGGACAGAAAAGTGACCTTGTCCCTTAGGGACCAGTAGTCTAGCAAAGACAGGTTTACACATAATTACAACTCCTGGAGTAAAGGGGAAACCGTAGCGCTTAGCAAGA